CAGGCCTAAAGGCCACGGATTAAAATCACCCACCTTTGGCTTGGTAGCATAACTTTCTATTCGCTGAGCCAACAGAGATCTCTCTATGTTGCTGCTATTTTTTGTTGTTGTTGCTATTTTTTAAGGTGACACATATAGGGTAACCTTAAGTCAGAGAATAACTGGAATCTTCTAGATCAGAAGTCCTGGCTCCTATGGGCCAGCCTTGCAGACCTCAGTTTGCTGATGGACAAGAAGATTGTTAGTTCTTCTCCTTGTCAGGAATACTAAAGCTCAATTACCGTAGTTTATTTCTATCAATGGAAAATGTTTCCACTCCCTCAGAAATGTCCAGAGGGACACTTTTATGAGATCAAATAGATGAGATTGTCCCTTTCATCCCCACTATGCAGAGAGTTCCCGTGTTATGCCAATATCCACTGAAATGACCAGTTACTTTCTATAGCTCTGGTTCTGAGTTGGAGTTGACTCTAACAGTAACTTTGGCTTCAATTTCTGCAACCATCCTGGAGGGCAATGCAATTCTGGATGAAATGAAATCTTTACAGAACTGGAACTCCTAGCATATGCTCAAGAGGTATAAATGACAAGTCAACAAGGCGATTATGGACAAAGATTTTGAAACATTAGAGGAATTACAGGCATCCTTTCTCTGCAGAAATGGAATGGTGTATTGTAGTGGCTACACAAACTGGGAAATACTATACAATCACTACAACATATTCCTCAGAATACCTCACTAGAGGCATGCTTGGCAGGAGACATACATCTTAATTAATGTTGTGTGAAAGAAGAAAGAGGGCATAATCTAGAGTCTGGATCTGTTTGTGTAGACACAAGATCTACATAAAGGTTATCTGAATGTATTTGAATAGATTCTCACAGGGAAAGAGCAGAAATGTAGTCTGGAAATAGTTGCAGTCTCTCCTGAAGAAGGTGAAATCCAGTTGCTCCTTAGAGGCAAGGAATTTGAAACTGTCACATTTATTTTGGGCATGTTGCCAGTAGGAGGGACCAGAACTTGGAGAAGGACATCATGCTTGGGAGGGTAGAGGGTCAGCCTAGGAGAGGAGAAGAGGGTCAGCCTGGGAGAGGAGAACCCTGGGTGAAATGGATTGACATAGTGACTGTGGCAATGGGGACAGGTGTGTCAAGAGATGGTGAGTTTGGCTCAGGACAGAGCAGGGTTCAAGAGCCATTCGTTACAGGGTCACTATGAGTCATAGTTGACTCAGCAGCACAGAACATTTATTATGGCAGATGTGAGACGCAAATATTTATCTGCTTCACACCACACACACTCATGAGCACGCACACACACAGATACACACACACACACACACACACACACACACACATTCTGGTGCAGTAGTCCACAGCGAGTTGCACTGCTGTCCCAAAGGTGCCTCTGACAGTTCGAATCCACCAATCCTCAGGAGAAAAATGTGCAATGTGTTCCTGTGTGATTTGTAACCTCCAAACCCTCACCAGAGGGTCAGCTAGGAGTTGGTTCTGACTCCACAGAAAGGATTGAGTTGAGAGAGCCCTTCAGCTTAATGTGTAAAGGGTCAGATAGCTAACCTTAAGATCAGCAGGTCAAATCTGCCCAGTACTGTGAGGAGCAATGGGGGCCAATCTCTTGCTGGAAAGACTTAGAGCCTCAGAAACCAGGTGGAGGTGGAGGGGCACGATGAGGCAGAACTGACTCGAGGACTTGGAAGGGGTTTTAGTGATCTGTCATGGAGTTGACTGTGATTCACAGTGACCCGTATGTATCAGAGGAGACGTGTGCTCCACAGGGATTGGCCATGGCGGAGCTTTCTTAAATAAGTCACCAGGCCTTTCTTCTGAGGTACCTCTCTGAGTGGGTTCAAACCTTCAACTTCCTGGGGAGCTCTGGTGGCCTAGTGGCAAGAAGCTGCACTGCAATCCCAGAGGTGCATGGTTCAAATCCACCAGATGCTCTGCCGAGGAAGGAGGGACAATCTCCTCCTGTACCAGTCAGATCTGATTTGACGGTACACGCAAAATAAATAATAAAATAAAAAAATAAAAAAAATTATTAAAAAAAAAACCTTCAACTTCCTGGCTTGCAGCTGAGCTCCTTAACGATTTACACCACCCAGAGACTCTCATTTAAATGGAATTCAAGTTCAAAATTCAGCCAGCATCATTATGACAAAATTGTTTCCAGCCTTAGACATACAGATGTCATTCTTTTACTCAGGAACCTGGTGACAATATGCAGGAATTTCACAACCTGCAACAGCAAGAGGGGAATTTCAGGCCCCAGCGAGATGCCCCAGGGTGGCCTTTGTCTTCCCCAGGATGGCTGCATCTACCAACTCCCACTCCTGAATGGTTCTGCTTTTCTTCAGTTTTCTGTGGACATTGATTTGTCCTGCTGAGCTGAGGTGACTGAGGCTACCTGATACAACTGTAGGTAAAGGTAATAGGTTCTGGTTGAAAACACCCTAATCTAGAGAATGTGCTGAGTGGAGATTTAGTGGAGAAATTATTTTGCCTACGCTAAAGAAGCTCAGGTAACCCAGTGCTAAGAATCTATCCTGCAATCCCAAAGGCATGAGGTTTGACTCCACCACTTGCTGCATGATAGAAGGACAGGCAGACTCCTCCCATGCAATTACTGCTCCTGAAAACCCATTAGAAGATCAACTGTGAGTTGGTTCTGACTCAGAAGCACACAACAACAACTCTAAGGGAGAGAGATGGATAACCCTCTCCCTAGCAATTGCCAGTGTTGGAAATAGGAGAAGATAAGCTATAAGCTGGCTTCAATTCCAAAGCAACGAGTAACGCAACAACAAGTAAGTTTCATACTTACAAGAAAGAAAGTGTTAGTGGCCTACTTATAAGGAGTTACACTGCCAATCCAGATGGACAATCTCCTCCCATACAATTTGTGGTTACTCTTCTATGTTGTCAGGTTGGAACTCATAGCTGACCCTCAGGCTGGTTTTCAGAGGCTGTAATTCACACCAGAGGAGATTGCCCCTCTTTGTGTACTCCCACAGAGCATCTGGTGGATTTGAACTGTCTACCTTTGAATTGGCAGTGCAGTACTTACCACTACGCCACCAGAGCCCTCATCTGATGTTAAGCCTCTGAAAACCAACTGCAGGCACAGCTATGAGGCTTTACTGACTCCACAGCCCATAACAACTTATAAGAAAGTCCCCGTCTGAGCCAGCTGATGGATACTGTGATAGCATCTAAACAACCATTAAACATACTCTTGTTGCCAACAGGCCAAGTTTTAATGTTGACTCATTTCTTTTCACTTCCATTGGCTTGTCTGACATGCATAGGTTTGCAAAAAGTCTTAACCATCACTTCTCAAAATCAAAAGCAAAAAACCAACATTCAAACATCCTATGAATCTCCAATCAAACATATCATCTTGTGATAAGGAAAAAGATACTACAAACTATGGAGGGAGGGAGGCAAGCTTTTGCAATGCATGGAGTTGAGAAATAATTCTATAAAGTGACAGTAGAAAAGTTGAAAAATTTAGGATCCATTAAGTTGCACTCAATAATCTGTGCTTATGAAAGTCCATAAATATACATTTTTCATTATGATTGTCCTGCACACAACTACCTTACAATTCTCATCTTTAGCCAAATTTCCAACATCATTAAAATCAATGGCACCATGTTAATGATCTAGGTTGGCATGGGCCTGGCGGCCAGCCATTCAGAGTCTAGGACAGATATAAAAAACAAAACTAAGCCCCAAAAGAGTGCTTTGAAATTCAAGATGAAGGGAACTTGGCTGACTCTCCAATTTAATTGATCTATCTTTTTGCAAAACTCTTGACATCTCTAAGCAAGCAATCCCACCATTCCCCTACTCAACTGTTTTATTTATTTAGTATTTTGTATATATAAAAGTTGTAGGATGAAAAAAACATATCTATTTTTCCTGGATCATGTTCCAGAATTAATACCCCTAGAAATTCAAGAGGACAAGATTATTTTTATCTTTATTCAATTAAAAAATAATAAAATCACAACATTTATATTCCCTTGTACTGGTTCCAAAATATATGAAAATCGATTCTAATTGTCCATTGGCCGCTAACCTAAAAGCAGTTGGTTTGAATCCACCATTTAACTCCTCAGGAGAAAAAATGAGCAACTTCTTCTCATCCAATTTACAGCTTTTGAAAACCCACTGGCGGGTCAGTCACGAGTCTGCTGCAATGCAACAGTAATGATGGGGTTTGGGGATTTTTTTTTTCTTTATAACAAAACTTGATTGTGCTAATGGGAAACCTATACTTGGATCAGAAGGCAGTCATCAGAACAAAGCAAGGAAACACTGCATGGTTCAAAGTTGAGAAGGGTGTGCATCAAGGATGTGTCCTATCTGCATATCTTTTAAATCTATATGTGGAACAGATTATCTGGGAGGCTGGGCTCTATGAGGAGAAGTGTGGCATTAGGATTGGAGGTAGACTCATCAACAATCTGTGTTATCCAGATGACATAATCCTGTGTGCTGAAACTGAGGAGGACCTGAAGTGCTTACTGCAGAAGGTCAAGGACTGCAGCTTTCAATATGAATTGATGCTCTATATCAAGAAAACAAAGATGCTCACCACTGGGCCCATTGGCAGCATCATGATTGATGATGAAGAGATTGAGATTGTTGACAGTGTCAGTTTGCTTGGCTCTGTAGTCAACACTCTTGGTACCAACAGCCAGGAAATTAAAAGATTAATTGCATTGGGAAAGTCTGCTGTCAGAGACCTCACCAAAGTATGAAGAGCAACGATGTCAGTCTGCAGACTAAGGTGCATCTGATACAGGCCATGGTCTTTTCAATTACTTGCTATGCATCAGAGAACTAAACAATGACTAGGGATGATAAATGGAGAGTTGATGCCTTTGAGCTGTGATGCTGGAGAAGAGTACTGAATATACCATGGACTGCTAGGAAAACAAACAGATTCGTCCTGGAAAGGATTAAACCCTCAAGCAGTTGACTGCAACACTGGGCATAAGCACAGTGCAGATTTTGAGGCTGATATATGATCTGGCAAACTTTTGCTCTTTTCTGTAGAGACAGTGTCTCTGAGTTGGAGCCAACTCAGTGGTACCTAACAACTACAATTGCCTTTACATGCTAAGCACCAAGTAATTGTTCTTAAAAAAATATTTGAGGGGATGTTGGTTACTAGGGAACACGTGGACTAGTAGAAAAATAAGTAAGACTGAGTTGGTAACATTTTTATTTTTAAGTCA